TAAATTTTGTTCTGAGGGAGGATCTAAATTGCCCAGCAGACTGGTCTTGAACTTGAGATTCTCCTGACTCAGCCTCCCGAGTCACTGGTATTAGAGACTCTCACACTATTTTTTTTCTTTTCTTCCCTCCCCCTCTCCCTCTGTGCAGAAAAAACAGACTGTAAGTAAGTGACTCAAAGCCAGTTCTTGCTTGTCCAATGTTACTATTCCTGCAGGGAGCTGGGGAGGAGCCCTGGGTCCTGGCTGGTCACAGCTTCTGAAAGTGTTAAAGCCCATAGAGACAGGCAGACTCACCCTATCTGCTCTCTGGGAAACCTGTGACTAACACTATTTATTAAGCAATTCTTTTTTTTTATTAGTTGCTCATGACAATACAATGATCTTGAAATATCATACATTTGAATCAAATGGGGTATAATTTCTCATTTTTCCAAGTGTCTTAAGCAATTCTTTTGAGTATATTGATATAAAATTCCCATGAGTATATTGATATATTTCCGAACTCTATTTTATTCTGCTGTTCTATTTTTGTATTTAACAATGTCATACTATTTTTCCTCATAATTTATTATGAAATCTCTTACTGTAAATTCTGTTCTTTGTTCTTTTCCTTCCCTTTTCTCCCTTTTCCAGCTCTTCTAGTTGGTGAGTTCTAGTTTCATTGGCTATTTATAAAAGTTGGTTAATTCTTTTTCAAGTGTGCCTTTTTTTGATTTTTTTCTGGCTTACATTTTTTGGTCTTTAATCATTTAATACATCACTTGTTTTACAGTAATTTTCATATTCTTCTATTTTCTCTCATTTGCCCATGTGGATTATCCATTTAGGATTGGTTGAATTGGCATGTGTTTTCAAAATTTTTAGTGTCCTCCTGGGAAATCTTATTCTATTTGTGTTGCATGAGTATTTCTGTGCTGTGGCTTTTTTTTTTTTGGTGTTATTATCTGATTTAGATAAATTAAATTAAATTATTGGCTAGGAGAATTCTTCCCATCATAGGTCATACAAGTTTGTACTCAAACCTGTAGACAGTGGCCTGGGATTTTCTCCTCACTTTTTTTTTTAAAGTTTTGACTCTTTAAATTTTTTTTTTGTAGTTGTAGATGGATAGAATGCCTTTATTTTATTTGTTATTTTTATGTGGTGCTGAGGGTCAAACCCAGTAATTCACATGTGTATGGCAAGTGCTCTGCCACTGAGCTACAGCCCCAGCCCTCCCCTCAATTTTTTATCATGAATATTTTCAAACAGAAGTTGAATGAATGGTATAATTAATGTTCATATAACCATCATTTATATTTAACAATTGTGAACATTTGAATATATATCTCTCTATATAGTACCTACTGGATGATTTGAGAATAAGTTTTATATATAACATTTTACCTCTAAATACTTCAGTACTCATATTTTAAAACTGTCATTCCACCACAAAAATCCTAATACCATTACCACTCTTAAGCTTAACAATCATTTTCTAATATTTTGTGCTACCTTGTCTGTACTAAAAATTGCCTCAGTTGTCCTCAACATTTTCATCATAACTGTTCTGTACAACCAGGATTTTGTCAAGTTTTACTTACTGATTTAAAAAATGTATATTTAGGGCTGGGGATATGGTTCAAGCGGTAGCGTGCTCATCTGGCATGTGCAGGGCGCTGGGTTCTATCCTCAGCACCACATAAAAATAAAATAAAGATGTTGTGTCCACCGACAACTAAAAAATAAATATTAAAAAACTCTCTCTCTCTCTCTCTCTCTCTCTCTCTTAAAAATGTATATTTAATTGACAACACTTTTATGTGGAAGAATATGATGCTTCAATACACATGTACAACATGCAATAATTGGATTATTGTAATTGGCATATCTATCTCCTGAAACATTTATCATTTCATTGTTCTGGGAACATTCAAAATTCCTTTTACTAGCTATTTGGAAACACTTCATGAATTGTCAACAACCCTAGTCATCCCACTGTGCTATAGAACCTGAGAAGTTATTCCTTCTATCCATGTATCTTGAACTCCTTAACCATCATCTCTCCATCCCTCTCACCTTCACATATTTCCAAGACTCTGGAAACTACTATTATACCTCTATTTCTAGGAGACCAACTTTTTAGCTACTACATATAAGCAAGAGGTTGCAGTCTATGTCTTTCTGTGTATGACTTATGTTACTCAATGCAATGTCCTCCATTCCCATCCATGTTGCTGAAAATTATTGATTTTAATTCTTTTATATGGCTGAATAATATTTCCTTGTGTATATAAGCACATTTAAAAAAATCCATTCATCCATTGTTGAACACCTCAGTTGGTTCCATATCATGGCCATTGTGAATAGTGCAGCAGTAAATATCACTGGAGATAACTCTTTGGTATGCTGATTTCATTTTCATTGAATGTATGTGTGTGTATGTGTATATATATATATATATATATATAATCTCCATCCAGAAGTAGGGTAGTTGTATCATATGGTGGATCCATTTTTAATTTATTGAGTAGATTTCATATTGTTAACATAATGGTTGCACTAATTCTTATTCTTACCAGCAGTGTATAAGACTTCCCTTTTCTCTGCATCCTCACAGCATTTCTTCTTCCTCTTCTTCCCACATTCCTCCTCCTCTCCTCCTCCCCTCCTCATCCTTTTTTCCTTTTCCTTCTCCACATCCTTCTTCTTCTTTTGTTTTTTTTTTGATAATAGCCCATCTAATTTTGGTGAAATTATATATCATTGTGGTGTTTATTTTCATTTCCCTGATGGTTAGTGATGTTAAGCTTATTTTCATATACCTGTCAACCATTTTTTAAGAAATGTCTATTGAGATAATTTACTAATTATTTTTGGATGATTTATGTTTTTGTTGTTGAGTTTCTTGAGTTCCTTATATTTTCACGTGTGTGTGTGTGTGTGTGTGTGTGTATTTATTCCTCCTCTTCTCCTCCTTCCTTCTTTCCCTTATTCTTTTATCTCCCTCCCTCCCTTTCTTCCTGCCTTGCTTCCTTTCTCTCTCTTTTTTTTCCTCCAGGCATGATGGTACACACCTGTAATCCCAGCTGAGACAAGAGGATTGCAAGTTTGAGGCCAGCCTGGGCAACTTTGGGATACCTTTTGTCAAAATAAAAATAAAAAGGACTGAGGATATGGCTCAGTGGCAGAGCATTGCTGGGTTTAATACCTGGCTTGGCCAAAAAAGAAGAAGAAAAAATATCATTGCCCATACTGATGCCCTGAAATGTTGTTTCTACTTTGAGTTTCATAGTTTTCTGGTCTTATATTTAAGTCTTTGATCCATTTTGTGTTAATTTATTTAGTAATGGGAATTGAACAAAATCCCCAGCCTTTAAATTTTTTTTTTTTAATTTTGAGACAGGATCTCACTAAGTTACTTAGAGCCTTGCCAAATTACTGAGGTTGGCCTCTAACTTGCAATCCTTCTGCCTCAGCCTCCTGAGTCACTGGGATTACAGGCCTGTACCACCATGCCTGGCTGAGTAGCTTTTTATATATGGTGAAAGAAAGGCATCCTTGCTGGTGATGGAGGACCTGTCATGGAATGTCAAATCCCAAGTAGGATGAGAGAACTCTCTATGAAGTAGGTAGACTTGATGTGAGTTTCAGAAACTGAGCCGGATAAGGAGGTTGTCTGTATGGTAGGATAAATCAGAGTGGGAGACAGAGCCTTACAGGGTAAGGAGGGCTTCTACCCATGGAGGTAACCTCGTGTGGGCTGTTGGAGCCTCAGGGAGGCTAAGTTATGGCTAGGAAATTAGCATCAAGAATCAGAGCACAAACAGAGTAAAGGAGGTTTTCCTGTGGAGCGATGGCTCAGCTCAGGGCTTTAGAACCTCAACAAGGTGAGGAGTCTGTGCACTGGGGAGGGTGTTAGCTGGCCCTGTTCAGGAATATCCAAGAAGGGTGAGGAGAACATCAGTGCTGGGGACAGGGTTTAGGACTGGGGAATCAGAGCTCAACCAAGAAGAGAAGGATGTTTTAGTAGGAGAGGGCTGATACCAATAGTGGGAGATTAGTAATATCCAGAAGATCAATCAAATAAATGAATAAGTCAAAGTTAAAGGACATAGGTTTCTTACTAAACTGAAATTTGGGACATTGGATTGGAATTGGAGTTATTAGTGGGAACTCATGGTTTTCAATATATTTAGATACAGAAATAAATATAAAGATCTGTATTATGCTGAGGAGGAGAATTTAGGTAGGAGAGACTAAAAGAAGGGGAATCATTTGGGAAAAGCTGAGAGCAAAGAATGTGGGCATGAGTTGATATCAGTTTTGTGTAAAGTTCCCACATGAAACTTTCAGTTTTTGATGTGTTTTCCTCTTGGATTTTGGAAAAAAAAATTAGCACTAGGTTGAAGTTTATCCTTCACATATAATTCCATGCCATTATCCCAACTGTTCAAAATATTCCTATGTACCTCCTAGAGCTGTTTGTTGGTGTATGTGGAGAATAAAGAGAAAGAGAAGTGTGGAGTAAAATATGCCTCCTTTTCTACCACCTAATAGAGATGTTTTCAGGAGTTCTGGTGGTGACCAGTAGCAAAATGAATAGAGATTCATGATGGAGATAATTATTAACATCAGGGGAAAGCACAGAGGAGCTTCTTCAGAAGGAATAGGATTTAAACTTTGTCTTCCCCATCGTACTAAAGGAAGCTGACTCTTGAATGTGAGGAGGCTGTCATCTGATATTTGTGTCAGTGATCATCTTAGAATGTGGTATCAAGAAGCCACCTGCTCAGCCAGAAATGAGGAGATGAATGCAATATGAACAAGTGTTTGCTTAGTTAGTTGGTTGGGTGAATGTGGAACACAAATATTATTTTTTGCTGATAAGAGCACAGTTCTTAGGAAAGACTTCTCTAAATTGCTCATTTCCCCTTTTCCTTTCCTTCCTATTTCTTGCCCTTGCCTTTTGAGTTCCTGCTTTTGATACATCTGCTTAGACGTATTTAGTATGTTTAAAGACTAACTCTCATGGTGCTGGTCCTGGCGATTGCACCTCTCCCTGTGGAATGAGTGGTTTCATGCTCTGGTTTGAATTCTCATGAGACAGTCTCAGGGGTATTTGCCTATTTATTGCTTCTGCTCTCATCCAGTTGAGAGAAAGAACAGTCGACCACCATGTTTGGATCTCATGTATAAGATGTTTTAAGGAAGGGATGACACAGATTTTCTGAAGAAAGCAGAAGGGCTCTTCGCAGTATGGCTTCGGAAATCACTTATGCTGAAGTGAGGTTCAAAAATGAACCAAAGTCCTCAGGTACCAATTCAGATTCTCCTGCAGGTAAAAAAATCATTTTCTGGTGATCAGAGTTAGTGATGTGGTGAAGGAGGAAGGGAAGGTTTATAAGCAAGGCATAGGTGATGTTAGTTGCTGTTCTGTGAGTGGTTGTGTCTGGGAAACCCTGGAATCCCTGATATTTTGTTGCCTGTAGATAAGCATTAAGGGGTTGAGGAATTGTAAAGTGGCAAAGAAAAGATTTATGATACTTTCCTTACTGGAACCATTTAGGACAAGTGTTTGTATTTTATTGTATATTCTCCCACATACAAATATACAGCCATGTGTGTAGGAGTGTATTTGTACGTATATATTATGTGTGTGTGTGTGTGTGTGTGTATATTTTTTTTTCCTTTTTCCCCACCAAACTGAAATCACCCAGTGCTGAGGCTCTCATAAATGGTAGGCAAGTGCTCTCCTACTGTGCTTCATTCTCAGATCTGAAAATGGTTTCTAACTATGAGATGGCAACAAGAAAGACTGATCTTTTCCTAAAAATATAAATAGTTTTTAAAGATTTATCTGCTGCAGTGCATATTTTTAAAGTAAGTTGGAAAGAATCTGGAAGATTATTTAAATATACAATGAAATACTATGCAACCACAATAAAGAGTATAAATGAAGAAATATGGTGATTTGAAAAAATATTCATGATGCAGTGTTAAAGAAAATGGTAGTTAACAAATCAAGATTGATGATATGTCATTTGGGCAAAAATGCACATATGAATATACATTTTAAAAACTGATTGAGAGGATGGGGTTGTGGCTCAGTGGTAGAGCACTTGCCTAGCACATGTGGGGCCCTGGGTTCGATCCTCAGCACCACATAAAATAAAATAAATGTATTGTGTCCAACTACAACTAAAAAATATTTTAAAAAACTGGCTGAAAGAATATATATTAAAATATTAAGAAAGTTATTCTCAATGGTAAGAAATAGTGTTTTTATGTATTTTATAAAATTTCTACAGTGATCATCATTGTTTCATTCCTATTCCTATTTTTAAGTTATTTACAATCTTCTACTATTAGTAATTGTGTGTCACACATAGAAAAGGAGAAGAAGATGGGGAAGAGGAAACAAGGACAGAATTTCTTATTGATAAAAATTATTTGGAATGGGAGCTCATAACCCACTTGAATCAAATTGTGAAATATGATATATCAAGAACTATGTAATGTTTTGAACAGCCAACAATAAAAAATTAAAAAAAAAAAATTATTTGGTTTCTTCTTCAGCTCCCAAAGAGAATACCACTCCTCTCAAAAGTAATCCCGCTTTTCCTAAGCTGCTTCTTGGATCATTGCTGATACTTTTCCTGCTGTTGGCAATCTTATTCTTTGTTGCTTTTATCAGTAAGTATAGCAATTCAATCAATAATCAATATCTGCCTTACATGAAACGAAGATTTCTCTTAGAAACTGACATTTAACAATGTGTTTATCCAGATAGCTGAACAAGAAAATTTCTCTGGGGAGATAAAATTCTGTTGTATCTATTGGAAATTTTGCTCTTTTTTAAGGATTTAGTTACTGTCCTACAAAAATAATGGAATCCATTCTCATTAGAGAATTTGAAGAATATATGTGGGTAAACGTGTTGGTGTAATAGAGTAAAATCTTTGAGCCATCATTAGGCTCTCTGTGAGGGCAGAATGTTTCCTTAGTAGCACTTATAAAGCTAGTCCTGTTTGACTTCACAGACACTTACATTTTGGGGTATGTAATGGACAAGGAGATGGGAAGAAATATTCCAGAAGAGTTCTCCAATACATCATCTTCTAATTATTTCTGTTCTGCCCATGATTGTGTGAGATTTAAAAGCCAAATTAGCAAATAGATTTTTGCATATCTTGGCTTTCAGAATTTATCAAAATTTTAAGTCATAAACTCAGCATACTTTTGGATAGATATTTTATTCATTAATTTGGTCATTCAATAAGCAGTAATGGCCTTGTACTATTTGTTAGGCACAATGTTAGAGAGTCTAGAAAGAGTCACAAATTCTGTCCTCAAGAAACTGAATAGTCAAATGAACCAGGGCTCGCTGGGTGCAGGGGCACATACTTATAGTAATTCTAACTACTCAAGATGCTGAGGACAGCCTGGGCAACATACTGAGACCTCCAAAAAAAGAAGAACCAGTGTTTGCATCGTTGCATGGGAAGTGTTCTGTAGGTAAGAAGTGAGCACAGGAGGTTGAGGTAAGCTTCCTGCAAGAGGTGCCATCTAGAACTGTATATATCAAGAATGGTATAGACATATTATATATTTGGAGAAATATAAGCATACATGACTGGAACATATAGTGCTACTTGAAGAACTTTGAAATGAAGTTATTAGGGGCAGACATGAACATGACACAGATTATGAAGTATTGTGTACCATTATAAAGAATTTGGATTTTTTCCCTAAATATTATTTTACAAAGTAAATTAGTCTAAAATTTAGTGGGTTAAAAGAGCTATATATTTAGCTCCCACTTCTGAGGCTTGGCAATTTAGATTGGTTTCAGTTGGGAGTTTCCTCTGTCCTAGCTGAACTCACTCATGCATACTATGTCAGGTACTAGTCATAGAGGAAGAGGATATCAAGTGGAATGACAGGGGCAATTTCACCACATTTCTGTGGTCATTTATCAGGCTAGCCTGGGTTTGTTCACATGACCACTTACCGACTTCCAAGACTGAGGGTGAAAGGAAGCCAAGCATTTTGAAGTCTCAATTTGGAACTAGCACAGTTTCTTTTGCACATTCTATTGGCTAAATGGAGTCTTAAAGGCAGCTTATATTCAAGTGGTGGAAAAACAGACTCCATATCTTGATGGAGAAGCTGTAAATTCACAGTGCAAATGGGTATGAATATAGGGAGTATGAAACTTTGAGGCCATTTATTCAGTGTGTCACAGTCATGGTAAGCCATTGAAAAATTCTGAGCAGGGTGTTGATATGGAAAAATTATGGAAAGTTTGTTTTTACAAAGCTGTGACAATGGGTTTATGAGCACAAAGTTGGTGTTAGAAAAAGAAGTTAGAAGGCCAATGGATAATCTTGTTGAGGCACATTGAGAGCCTGATCCAAGGAAACTGTTAGTGAAGAAAGAGAAGAGGAGGTAGTTTTGAATGATAAAGAAGATATAATCAAGTAAGCCAAAGCTTGATCTGGTGATTAAGGGACCCAGAGAAGTTAAGTGACTCTAATATTCTGACCTATTAAACTCAGCAATAATGAAGTCATTCATAAAAAGGTAGACAACATAGGATGAGTAGCAGGTTTGGTTGGAAGATGATGATTTAAGTTTTGAACACATTGGGCTGAACCTCAAATGTAATTATTTAGTAGGAGGAACACCTGCATTTCAAGAGTGAGTTTTGAGTTTTGGAAGTTATTCACATTCAGGCAGCTGGTAACACCAGGGAAAGTATGATATCACTCTGAAAGAAACTTAGTATGAGAAGTAGGGACAGGGATGAAACTCTGGAGAACACTATATTTTAATAGGTAGATGAAAGAAGAGGAGCTTATAAAAGAGTATAAGAAGCAGCAGTAAGAAATATGAGGCAGAAACAGGAAAGAACGCTGTCCCAAAAAGTTAAGGGGAGAGAGAAATGTGGTGAAGAATTGTAAGACCACTGGAAAGATGACTAATAAGTGGTCCTAGGATGTTACTGATGATCCATTTCGAGGATGGGTTTAGTGAAATGGTAATAGCCAAAGCCAGAATGAGGTGGGTCAAGGAACAAACAGGGTTAGGGGGAAAGAGAAAAAATTCAACTTCTAGGGAGTGAGTTTTAATGTGAGAGAGACATGTGCACTTAGTAATTAGAATCAGCTGTGATAGAGAGAGTTAAAGGAGAGAAAAGGAGGAGAACAACATCCTCTCGATTAATCTTGGGGTTTCTAAAAAACATTCTTCTGTTCTTTAAGGTAAGCCAGAACTGCTTAGAATTAGCAAATTCCTCCTTCTCCTAAAGTCCCAGGCTGTGAAAAAAATCTTTTTTAAAAATTGTTTTAATTTTTTGACTATTTTTTCCATTGTTCTGTATGACATGTTGGTTTTTTTTAAAATTCACACCATTCGTGTCTTCTTCGTACACATACTTAGGGTAGTGATGTCCATCTCATTCCACCATTTTTTTTAACCTTTTGCTCCCTCCCTCCCCTACTCTTGCCTTTGCCCTATCCAGAGTTTGTCTAATCTTCCCATGCTCCTCCTCCCAATCCCTCTATGTATCAGCCTCCTTATTTCAGAGAAAATATTTGACATTTGTTTTTTTGGGATTGGCTTACTTCATTTAGCATTATATTCTCCAACTCCATCCATTTACCTGCAAATGCCATGATTTTATTCTCTTTCATTGCTGAGTAATATTCCATTGTGTATATATACCACATTTTCTTTATCCTTTCATCTACTGAAGGGCATCTAGGTTGATTCCACAGTTTAGTCATTGTGAATTGTGCTGCTGTAAACATTGATGTGGCTGTGTCCCTGTAGTATGCTGTTTTTAAGTCTTGTCGGTATAGACCCAGTAGTGGGATATCTGGGTCAAAAGGTGATTCCATTCCCAGTTTTCCAAGGAATCTCAATACTGCTTTCCATTATTGGCTGTACCATTTTGCAGTCCCACCAGCAATGTATGAGTGTGTCTTTTCCCCCACATCCTCGCCAATGCTTATTGTTGTTTGCATTCTTAATAGCTGCCGTTCTGATTGGAGTGAGATGAAATCTTAGAGTAGTTTTGATTTGCATTTCTCCAATTGCTAGAGATGTTGAATATTTTTTCATATACTTGTTGATTGATCCTATATCATCCTCTGAGAAGTGTCAGTTCAGGTCCTTGGCCCATTTATCGATTGAGTTATTTGTTTTTTCATGTTTGGCTTTTTGAGTTCTTTATATATCCTAGATATTAGTGCTCTATCTGATGTGTGTGTGGTAAAAATTTGCTACCAAGCTGTAGGTTCTCTATTCACCTCACTGATTGTTTCTTTTGTTGAGAAGAAGCTTTTTAATTTGAATCCATCACATTTATAAATTCTTGATTTTAATTCTTGCACTATAGGAGTCTTGTTAAGGAAGTAAGGGCCTAATCTGATATGATGTAGATTTGGGCCTATTTTTTCTTCTACAATTACTAGGTCCTTGATCTACTTTGAGTTGAGTTTTGTGCATGGTGAGAGAGAGGGGTTTAATTTCATTTTGTTGCATGTTGATTTCCAGTTTTCCCAGCACCATTTGTTGAAGAGGCTATCTTTTTTTCAATGCATGTTTTTGGTACGTTTGTCTAATATAAGTGTAATTATGTGGGTTAGTCTCTGTGTCCTCTATTCTGTACAATTGGTCTACCAGTCTGTTTTGGTGCCAATACCATGCTGTTTTTGTTACTATTGCTCTGTAGTATAGTTTAAGATCTGGTATAGTGATGTCACCTGCTTCACTCTTCTTGCTATGAATTGCTTTAGCTATTCTGGGTCTCTTATTTTTCCAGATAAATTTCATGACTGCCTTTTCTATTTCTATGAGGAATGCCATTGAAATTTTGATCAGAATTGCCTTAAATCTGTATAGTGCTTTTGGTAGTATGATCATTTTGACAATAATAATTCTGCCTATCCAAGAACAAGGGAGATCTTATCATCTTCTAAGGTCTTCTTTAATTTTGATCTTTAGTGTTCTGTAGTTTTCATTGTAGAGGTCTTTCACTTCTTTTGTTAGGTTGATTCCCAAGTATTTTTTTTGAGGCTATTGTAAATGGGGTAGTTTTCCTCATTTTCCTTTCAGAGAGGATTTGTCAGTGATATACAGAAATGCCTTTGATTTATGGGTGTTGATTTTGTATCCTTCTCCTTTGCTGAATTCATTTACTAGTTCTAGAAGTTTTCTGGTGGAAATTTTTGGGTCTTCTAGGTATAGAATCATATTATTTGTAAATAGTGCTAATTTGAGTTCTTCTTTTCCTATGTATATCCCTTTAATTTCTTTCATCTGTCTAATTGCTCTGGCGCATGTTTCAAGACACATGTTAAATAGAAGTGGTAAAAGAGGGCATCCTTGTTTTGTTCCAGTTTTTAGAGGGAATGCTTTCAACTTTTCTCCATTTAGAATGATATTGGCCTGGGGCTTAGCATAGATAGATTTTACAATGTTGAAATATGTTCCTATTATCCCTAGTTTTTCTAGTGTTTTGAACATGAATGTGTGTTGTATTTTGTCAAATGCGTTTTCTGTGTCTATTGAGATGATCATATGGTTCTTATCTTTAAGTCTATTGTATGAAAATTCTTAAATGCATTTATTTGACCTTCACTCCCTTCCCACAAATTTGGCCTTCATTTGCATCTTATGTTAAGTATTTAAGGAGACTGTGATAAGTTCCTTTAAATCCCATTATGATGGAACCGTCATGTCTTCTTTTAATTCCTCATCTTTTAGCTATTCCTGGAGATACCTAATATTTCAAAAGCAGTAGGATTAGGCCTGTTGACTGTGGGACCATGGGGAAAGCTTTCCTGTCAGGCTGTGTCCAATTAGGTAATAAGACTTTTGTAGATTTTGTTTCTGTGGAGAATGCAAGAAAGCAACAGTAAAGAGTAACAACCTGGATTGGGGCTGTGGCTCAGTGGTACAGTGCTCGCCTTGCATGTTTGAAGCACTGGGGTTGATCCTCAGCACCACATAAAAATAAATAAATCAAATAAAGGTATTGTGTCCATCTACAATTAAAAAAAAATCTTTAATAAAAGAGCAATGACCTACCAGGAAAATGATTGGTTTTTATTCTATTTTCCAGCTTTCTTTAACAAATATTCTCAGCTACTTGAAGAAAAGAATTATAAAGTTTCTCCGAAGACCCTGATTCACACAAATTTAAATTGTGTAAGAAACAATTCAACCATGGAAGGTAAATTTAATGTGCCTAGAGTTCAGTTGCTGACTATAGTATTAAGGATCCCAAAACAGCATTTATGATTTCCAGGTAGATCACACTAAGAAGAGGAGTCTCATGATCATTCTAAGCTACAAGTGTACAATATATAACACCTGAAATTCATATGCATTTAAAGTTTTCTACGCAATGCTTGATTGTAAAAAAGGATATATTGCTATTGCATTTCTTCAGCCTGTGCTTCTTTCTGAGGTTTCTGTGCAAGGCTACTCTTTTTCTCATATGTCAGTTATAACAATTTGATAAAAATTATGATGAATATATTATTGTGAATGAGAATATTTTACATTAAAATAGGCTATTTTAAAACATATTTATATTTACAGAAAAAATCGAGCAAATAACATTAAAAGATTCTATTTTAACCCCCCCTTGCACAAACAGTGCCCATTATTATTAACCTTAGTAAAGACATTTGTTATGACAAATGAACCAATGTTTTTATCACTAAATTCATGATTTTTTTCCCCTTTGATACTAGGAATTAATCTTAGGATTTCACACATGCTAGGCAAGTCTTTATCACTGATCCACCCTTCTACCCAAAAGTTCTTGATTTTCTAAATTTTCAACTATTGTACTTTTTCTGCACTGGAGTCCCATGCAGTCCCCCATATTACATTTAGTTGTCATCTCTCTTTAGGTTCCTCTTTGCTGTGATAGTTTTTCAGACCTTCCTTGTTTTTGATGACTCTTAACAATTTTGGGAAACACTGTTCTATATATTATTGGTTGTCCCTTATTAAAAGTTGAAGTTTTCCTAATGATTATATGGGGATTATTTGTTTTTGGGAGGAGGCTTACAGATGTCAAATGCTATTTTCATCACATCATTTTAATTGTTTGTATTATCAAAGTAATTTTTGACTGTTGATGCCAAAGTTGATTACCCCAGGTAGTGTTTGTCAGGTTTCTCTATTATAAATGTATTCCCTCTCCTATTCCCAGACTATAGAGTTCACCAGGAGGTTGCTATGTGTAGATAATATTTTATTTAGGGTGGAGGAGTCATGCTTTCTGTTCATTAGGGTGGAGTGTTATGTTAGGGCTCTCCAGAAGAACAGAAGCAAGATAAGTATGGATACTTATTTTAAAAACTTGGCTCATGCAATTTTTGGGGCTTGATAAGTCCAACATTTGATCTGGGTAACTTTTAGGCTACAGATTCAGGAAAGAGTGGCAGATTGAGGCCAAAGGAAGTCTGCTAAGCTTTTAAAAGGTTATTATATTTTTCAATGATAAAATATCCATTTTTTTTACATCTTCTGTTTTTTTGTTGAGTCTATTTTTTTTCCTTTATTTTGTTTTTTTTTGGTGGGGGGGTTACTGGGTTGAACCCAGGGGTGCTAAACCACTGAGCCATATTCCAGTCCTTTTTATTTTTAATTCTGAGACAAGGACTCACTGAGTTGCTTAGGGCTTTTCCTTTTTTTTCAAGATTGTATCTTCTTGTTGAAGTGTTTTTATCATGGTTGCTTTAAAATCTTTGTCAGATAATTCTAACACTTTTGTTATCTGTTTTTTTTGTGTCTATTGATTATCATTTTTTACTAAATTTGAGAACTTCCTGGTCCTTGGTATGATTAATTATTTTCTGTTGTGAAACTTGTATATTTTTATTTTGAGGTTTTGGAGTCTGTGTTTTATTGAAACATTATTTTTAGCTGTTTTTTTTCTGATACCAGTCCAGAAGGAGAAAGGGGCTCTGACACATTACTGCCTGGTGGAGGCAGACTCAGCTCCTTGGCACCTGAGGAAAGGGGTCTCCTTGTTATATCTGGATGCATATGGGACCTACAGCTTTCATGCTGTTTCCCTTGGTTTGAAAAGTTAATAACACACACATTAAAAAAAACACATTTTCATATAACACATTTATTTGCTCTTCTTGTCAATAAAGGAAAAGTCTGGAGCTGTTGCCCAGAGCATTGGAAGTCATTTAGTTCCAGTTGCTACTTTATTTCTACTGATGCAAAATCTTGGAAGGAGAGTCAGGAGAACTGCTCTAGAATGGAGGCTCACCTGGTGGTGATCAATAGCAAGGAAGAGCAGGTACTTTCTAAGGCACAATGGAATCATGAACCTGTCTGACTTTTGTACATGCCTTTGCTAAGAAGGGATATTGACGCTGTGGCAGAAGACTTTCCATAAGACAGATAGGAGAAGCTCCCCCAGCCTTCCCATTCCACACCTTGTACCTTCTTCAGTGTAAATAACTCCCCCAAGGAAATTGTGGCATTCAACATGTAAGACCTGGGGGTTTAGTGAAAGGATGAAAATGTTTCTGCCTACAATAGTAGTTGGTTATTTCAATGTATAACTGTTTTCTGAATGATCAACTGCTTAACAGAAAGGAGAATTAACTTGAATAGGCAAAGTTAAATCAATAGACTCACAATAGGCAATCAGGAATGAATTTTAAGAATGTGTGAAGTGCTGGGTGTTGTGGTGCATGTTTGTAATACCAGGGGCTTGGGAGGCTGAGGCAGGAGGATCTCAAGTTCAAAGCAATCCTCCACAATGTATCAAGGCACTAAGCAATTTAGCAAGACCCTGTTCCTAATTGAAATATAAGGGTAGGGAGGTGGCTCAATGGTTAAGCATTCCTGGTTTCAATTTTGGGTACCAAAAAAAAATCATGATGTCATGAAAGGAAAATGATTAAATTTGTAAGAATTTTCTTATGCACAAATTTAAAGAATGTTCTCTCAGTGAAAAAAGAGGGAAAGAGTGGGTGGATCTGGGTCGCTGGGCTTGACCTCCTGTGGTAGTCTGTTGGTTGGAAGGGGCGGTCCTGTGATGGAGGGTAGGCTCCACAATGGAATATTACTCAGCAATAAAAGAGAATAAAATTATGGCATTTGCAGGTAAATGGATGGATTAGAGAAGATAATGCTAAGTGAAGTTAGCCAATCCCAAAAAACCAAATGCCGTATGTTTTCTTTGATATAAAGAGATTCATAGTGAGGTAGGGAGGGAGAGCCTGGGAGGAATAAATGAACTCTAGATAGGGAAAAGGGGTGGGAGGGGAAGGGAAGGGGCATGAGGTTATAAATGATGGTGGAATGTGATGATCATTATTATCCAAAGTACAGGTATGAAGACACGAATTGGTGTGAATGAATATACATTGTATATAACCAGAGATATGAAAAATTGTGCTCTGTCTGTATAATAAGAATTGTAATGCATTCCACTATTACATATAAAGAATAAAAAATTAAAAAAGAAGAAAAGAGGGAAAGTGAATTTGAGATGGAATTCATTGTGACTGTAGACAGGAATTGCTTCCATATTTAATAAAATTAGGGCTCACAGATGATGTCTTTGATCCTTTTGTGCTCAAAGATCTGCAGTTCTGAGGTCCCCATCTGGTTATTCCTGAACCATCTCCTTTTGTTTTCATTTCTGTGTGACCATAAAGAGTTCAGCTGAAAAATCACACTGCAGCTTTAAATATGTATAATTATTAGTGTTAGTAAAATCTTTAAAAAAATATAAAGAAGATGGAAATGTTAACTAGGCCAATTTAATTATTATGCACTGTGTATATGTATCAAACTATCATGTTATATGATAGATTTTATAATTAAAATGATAAAGAAGAAATAAATCACCAAAATCATTTAAAAAATATGTTTATTGGCGAATTATATTTACACATGGGAGTATACTTCATTCTGTTTTATTAATACCAGTACATAGCATAATTTGGCAAATTAAAAAAAAAAAAACCTTAGTTCAAGCTGAGTATCTAGAGCCTATGACTTCTTTTTCTTTTTCCTTTCCTTTAGGATTTTATCACTCATAATTTGGATAAAAAAGCTGCTTATTTTGTGGGGCTATTAGATCCAGAGGGTCAAGGACACTGGCAATGGGTTGATCAGACCCCATACAACCAAAGTGCCACGTGAGTAGAAAATTAGATAAAGGAATCCTGTGTCCTGGGTCATGCAGGAAGTTTAGAGTGTTCCAGCATCAGTTCTGAAACTAAAACAGCTCACTCTCGTCCTGTTGCACACACAGTTAATCAATTTTATTACCTCATGAAATTATCACAGAACCCTAGGAGGCACACATTATTATTCCTATTATAGAACTAAGGTAATTGAGTAGGAGAGTATAGATAGTTCAGCTAAGGTCACCCAACAATATTCTTTAGAACCAGGTGGATTCTACTTCGATTTAAAAAACTCTATTGATTCTCTGTAATAAAAATTTATGTTTTTAAAGATAATTATGGATTATTGTGATTTAATATTTCTCATAATGCAAAAATCTTAAATTTGGATACTATTACTCATATTTATGTAATCTTTAAAGTATACTTCCACCTTTGATCCTTATGTCTTTTTTTTTTTAAATTTTTTATTGTTGGTTGTTCAAAACATTACATAGTTCTTGATATATCATATTTCACACTTTGATTCAAGTGGGTTATGAACTCCCATTTTTACCCCATATACAGATTGCAGAATCACATCAGTTACACATCCATTGATTTACATATTGCCATACTAGTGTCTGTTGTATTCTGCTGCCTTTCCTATCCTCTACTATCCCCCCTCCCCTCCCCTCCCCTCCCCTCTTCTCTCTCTACCCACTCTACTGTCATTCATTTATCTCCCTTGTATTATTTTTCCCTTTCCCCTCACTTCCTCTTGTATGTACTTTTGTATAACCCTGAGGGTCTCCTTCCATTTCCATGCAATTTCCCTTCTCTCTCCCTTTCCCTCCCACCTCTCATCCCTGTTTAATGTTAATCTTCTTCTCATGCTCTTTGTCCCTACTCTGTTCTTAGTTACTCTGCTTATATCAAGATCCTTATGTCTTTTTTGTGAAATATATAGTGCTGTTACTCTGGTCCTGTGTTTAGATGGGCAAACTGAGAATCTAAGAAATTATTTGACCTAGAAAATAGGAATAAGTAGAAGATCTAGAGATTTAACTAGTCCTTCAGACTTCAAAATCATCCCATTAAAAAGGGAAAAAAAGCCTATATTGATACAGGAGACCATGGTGACTTCCCTTCATCATATAAGAAAGCCCCATGGATTGTCAGTTTCCTGGCAACAGGGCCTATGTTTAGAGGAGAGCCTGTGGGTAACTTTTGGTCCAGTATTTAGTGCAATAAGGTTTGAGAAAATATGAGTGATGAGGGCACAATTTTCAAGATAAATGCCAGAGGTGTTGGTGGAGGAGAAACTGCATGAGAATTGGGAAGTGTTGGTCTGGGCATATTTGACCCTGACTTCCACAAAGTTCCACCCCAGCCTCTGGCCCCATAACTGACTCTAACCCTTTTAAAAGCAGTCTTGGAAGAATAACTTCATCCTTTTTCTGTTTCAGATTCTGGCATACAGGTGAGCCAAGTCATAGTGAAGAGCATTGTGTTATAGAAAATCATCGTCCTCCATCATTGGGATGGGGCTGGAATGATATACTTTGTAAAGATGATCAACGATCAGTTTGTGAAATGATGAAGATCTACTTATGAATCAACACTTTTCATGGACATGTGTTTGGATTTGCATTCATTATTCTAGCGCTAGCTCATAAGTTCTTCTTTATGAAAGACATTCCATAGACTTTTAGGTAAGTGGTCAACTATTCCACTTTTGAGGAAATGTTAGTGTTGCATATAGAATTTATCAGTTTACTTCCTACAGAGCACCTAATACAATAATTGTGGGGGACTTTTTTACTTAATGTACAATGAGTTTACTCCATGTTATTTCTGTACCATAATGATGGTACAGAATTTTAAAAAGATACATTGTACTAAAATGCTTTTGACTGCCTCAGTAAAGAGAGTAATTGAACAGGAGTGAAATATTTTATCCTGTGTCTAGCCAGTGCTGGAACTCTTCTTTTCACTCTACCTTGTGTTATATGAATGTGTTTTGGTGTCTTTTACTTATTTTTCTCTAGAGCATCTTTCCATCAATGTGTGTGAATAGGTTTTATGTGAGTTTTGTGTTTAAAGAGTGATGTAGAATTAGAAACCATCCTATTGATCACTGCAAAGGAAAAAGGCAGCAGAATACAACAGACACTAGTATGGCAATATATAAATCAATGGATGTGTAACTGATGTGATTCTGCAATCTGTATATGGGGTAAAATGGGAGTTCATAACCCACTTGAATCAAAGTGTGAAATATGATATATCAAGAACTATGTAATGTTTTGAACAACCAACAATAAAATAAAATAAAATAAAATAAAATAAAATAAAGAAGTAATACAGTAGTTATGGTTTTAAGCCACTAAGGTTTTGGGTAGAATGTTCAGTACTGGGAAGGATACTTTCACGAGACTATCATTTTGTAGAAAAGGTAATGTTGAAGCTGCTTGATTTCTCTGAAGGTGGAGATCTGCTGAGATCTGACAACCCTCCAGAGCCCTTTTGATGTAAATTTTATTTATATGATTTTAATTCTGAAACATGGATTATGTTACAGTTTAGATATGAGTTATCTCCTAAAAGCTCATGTGTGTGACAGTGAAAGAAAGTTTAGAGTTGAAATAATTGGACTGTGAGAGCCTTCACCCAATCAGGGCATTAATCCCCTGATAGGGACTAAATAAATGGTAACTGTGTACAAGTAGGGTGTGGCTGAAAGAGGTGAGTCTTTGAGGGTGTGCCTTTGAGCTTGGTATTTTGTTGTGGTGGGAGGATTCTGTTGTTTCTCTCACACTCTGCTTCCTGGTGGGCATGCTCTGAGCCACTTTCCTCCTCTACACTTTTCTCCTCTGATGGTCTATTTCTTTTTTTTTTTTTTAAATTTTTTATTGTTGGCTGTTCAAAACATTACATAGTTCTTGATATATCATATTTCACAATTTGATTCAAGTGGGTTATGAGCTCCCATTTTTACCCCATATACAGATTGCAGAATCACATCAGTTACACATCCATTGATTTACATATTGCCATACTAGTGTCTGTTGTATTCTGCTGCCTTTCCTATCCTCTACTATCACCCCTCCCCTCCCCTCCCCTCCCCTCTTCTCTCTCTGCCCCCTCTACTGACATTCGTTTGTCCCCCTTGTATTATTTTTCCCCTTCCCCTCACTTCCTCTTGTGTGTACTTTTGTATAACTCTGAGGGTCTCCTTCCGTTTCCATGCTTTTTCCCTTCTCTCTCCCTTTCCCTCCCACCTCTCATCCCTGTTTAATGTTAATCTTCTTCTCATGCTCTTCGACCCTACTCTGTTCTTAGTTACTCTCCTTATATCTGATGGTCTATTTCACTTCAGGCCCAGAGCAATGGGAGCTGGCCATCTAAAGGAGCTGAGATCTTTGAAAGCATGAGCCCCAGATAAAATTTTCCTCTTCTCAAATAGTTTTTTTTTGTCAGATATTTTGGTCACAGTAGCAAAAAAGTTGACTAAAACCTATTAGTAGTCCTTTCTTTGCCTACATGGAAATCATTAGTAGTGCACACTTGCTGGGGATAAATGATTCAAGGACAGAAGAAATAATGAGGCATAGTTCAGTTGTATTAAAGTAATTGTTCAGTGTAAAGTTTTGATGAAATATTGTGTAACAAAATTTTGAATGCCGTGCTTTGGAGTAGTTAAAAATGTTGTAAATGGAATTTTTAAAATGAGGAACCAGCTTTAAGGATTGTGGTTCATGTTTGCTGTCTATTCATCCCTTCTCCCTCAAAAACAATATTTCAATATTGTTTAAAGTCACACTTTTCTTCTTGAAGCTCATGTTACTTGGGATACTGTGAGTGAATATGGATTAATCCAAGTCAACAACACAATCATACTAGTGGTTGGTTTAGGAATAGCATGAATTGTTAGTCCTGCTAAGAAATTGCTTCTTCCTATTCTCAGAGGAATCAGGGAGTGAATCTCCCTCTCCTAATGAACACGAAGAGTCCTGTTCACAACTGACAGTCATACTGTAACCACGAGGGGAACTAGTCTTCAAATTATAGAAACACTGTGGATGGCAGAGTAGAGCCATGGGAAGGACCTGGCTATTTAAGTTCTTTGTGGGTCACTGAATTGACTATTTTCACAGCATAGCCTACTGTGAAGTTTTATTGTGAAGACTAATAAGTTTCTAATTATTTGTCAGGTTGAATCCTGATGTATTTAAGAAAATATATTAGTTTTAGTGACTAGATTTTATTGAGCTATAGTTTTACATGAGTAAAAGGCACACACCTTCTGAGTATAGTTCCATGATTTTGTCAAGTGCATGCAAACCTCTAACCACCATGATTATCTACAATAAAGATTTCTAGCATTGCCCAATGTTCCTGTCCTGACTGTATGAGTGCAGTGTTCTGATCCCTGCTTTTCAAATTCCATATTAAGGGGCTGGGGATGTGGCTCAAGCGGTAGTGCGCTTGCCCGGCATGCGTGCGGCCCGGGTTTGATCCTCAGCACTACATACAAACAAAGATGTTGTGCCCGCCGAAAAGTAAAAAATAAATGTTAAAAATTCTCTCTCTCTCTCTCTCTCTCTCTAAAAAAAAAATTCCATATTAAACAGATAGCAAAGTTTGCTTTTTCTTTTTACTTTCTTTATCTCAATATGTTTGTAAGATTCTCCTAAGTTTTTTGTATTTTTTCATTGGTAGAATCAATTTTTTATGGAATTGTGTTTCATTGTAACATGATCTGTAACGTAATTTGTTTATCTGATTTGCTGTTGTGTAAGCTTTGAATCATTATTATATCTTATCTATTGTGAATAAAGCTTCTTCTTTTACATGCCTTTTTGTGTAACTCTGCATTTATATTTCTTAGAAATGTGCTCAGGCATGGAATGTATCAACACCAAGTATTATAGAGAATAATTTTAGTGCCCTAAAATTTCTCTATGTTTCAGTTACTATCCTTTTCTTCCTGACAACTCCTGGAATTTACTGATTCTTATGCTTTTGTCTTTTACAGATTGTCATAAATTGGATCCTACACAAATTTTTCTGATGTCTCTTACCGTTAGTAATGTGCATTTCAGATTCCTCCATTTTATTTTATGGCATGTTGACATTTCTTTTTATTGCAGAAAATATTCTACCACAGTTTATTCATCCATTGAAGTACCTGTTGATTGCTTCTAATGTCGACACTTAGGAATGAAGTTTTTATTTGGCCTCCAGTGTGGGTTTTTGTGTGGACATGTTTGTGTTAACAACTAGGAACACTCTTGTTGACTTGGGTGTTAAGACTGTACTGAGAACTGTCTTCCAAAGTGGCTATCATTTTGCATTTGACCAGCCATGAATCAAAGTGTTCCTATTGTTACATTTTCTTGCCAGCATTTGGAATTTATAGTGTTGTGGATGTTGTCCATTAATAGTGACAGATAGTGGGACTTGACTTCATTGTAATACTAAAATCTCCATGCAGGGAAAACCAGAAGCCTCATTTCCAAAACATGGAAAGTATAAGGAAGCATGTTGTCAGACTTCGTTGTGCAGGAAAGTCCCCACCCACGTTTGTGATGATGTCTTCTCTGGACCAGGTCATGCATTCCCTGCCAAATAAACTGCAGCCTTCTCTAGTAGCCAGCAGGGCTTTGGGAGCGATTCCCCATTTGCAAACAAATTGGCTCCATGTCATCACTGTTCTTGGTGTTATGTTCTGCCTGGATTCTCACCAAGAGGTGGATCCATTAAGTTGGGTCACACAGTCATTGTTCAAGGAAGTGGAAGAATTGTGGTGATGCTGTGTGTAGAGGGGTGCTGTCACAGCCCACCGTCCCTAAGCTCTAGGTTCTTGCTGCTTATGGGGAAGGTGCAGAATGCAAAGGCTGCTCATGTGGCAACTACTGATCCTCAGCTTCACTGAAGTGCTTCAGGCTGGCTTTGGTGCAGCAACCTCGGGGATGTGCAATCATTTCTCCTGCTCACCTTCTGAACCCAGGCCCAGGGTTTACTGCTGCAGCTGCTACAGGAACTTGGGCACCTGCAAGATGGTTTCTGTTTCAAGGACAGTACCCTGCAGCAGCATTCCCATACCTTTTCCTGGAGACCAGCCTCTTTCTCCAAAAACAGAGCCAGCATTGAGCTTTGGGGCTTTGGTTCTACTTTGGGCTGCTGTTGCCCACACAATCTTCCACTGGAGAGGACCCTCTCAGGGAAGTCAGATCATCATCAGGACTGGTTATATTCAAAGAGCACAGGTCCTGGAACCTTCAAACTTAGCAACTGTGTCTGCAGGAGCTTCATTATGTCTCCAGGTGTCTTTGTTTGTCCAGGTTTCACAGCCTAATTTTTAATTTAAAATCAGTTATTGAATACTTCCAGTGATTTTATCCATTAATTCTAAATTTTCTTCAATAACATCATATTTAATGAACACTTTAATTAGGCATATTAATAGGATTCACTGTGATATTTTCTTAAACCCATACAGCCTGCACTGATCATATCCATACCTCCTCTTCCACCCCTTACACCACAGCAGACTTCCCAGTTGCTAATAATCACAATTTTACTTTCAGGTTAACCTTTTCACATATTTTTTTTAATAGGAGATAAAATAAGATACTTTCTTCCTATGTCTGGTATGTTTTGCTTGCCATGATTTCCTCTAGTTCCATTTTTTTTTCTTGCTGCAAATGACAGGACATCTTTCTTTTTAATGAGTGAATAATACTCCACTGTATATATATATATATATATATATATATATACCATATAATCTTCATTCCATCTGTTAGTTAATGGGTACGTAGACTGATTCCAGTTAAATGGGTGTGTAGTCAGTTACATAAAAGAGTGTAACTGACTCTTTTGTGTGCTGACTTCATTTCCTTTGGATATATACCCAAGAGTAATGTTGATTGATCATATGACCATTCCATGTTTATTCTTTTAAGGAATATCCATCTTGTTTTTCATAGTGGCCATACCAATTTACATTCCTACCATCAGTATATAAGAGTTCCCTTTTCTCTACAGCCTCACCAGCATTTGTTAATTTTTGTTGCTTTGATAATAGTCATTCTGAATGGGGTGATATTGTATCTCATTTCACTTTTGGCTTGCATTTCCCTGATGGCTAATGATATTGAGCATTTTAAAATACATTTATTGGTCATTTGCATTTTTCTTTTGAGAAGTGTGTATT